AAACAAAAACACCTGCCCGAGTCAATTCTGACTCATAGTGACCTTACAGGACAGAGCAGAATTGTCCCTGTGGGTTTCTGAAGCTGTAAACCTTTAAGGAAGCAGAGAGCCTCATCTTTCTCCCAGTGAGCAGCTGAGGGGTTTGAACCACCGACCTTTCAGTCAGCACCTCAAAGTGTGACTCACTAAATGCCACTGGGGCTCCTTAGCCTAATACTAGTTCTCATTTATGACAAATATGCTAATGGTGCCAGCCTTAGATATGAGAGTGGCTAAGGATCCCAGAGTGGAAACCAAGTTCCTGAGCTTCTAAACAACAATAAAATTCTCCTTCTTGGCCACTGGTTCCTACAAACGACGGAGACGCTGACCCCAAGGAAGAAGAGCCAGTAAAGTATCCTGAGGGGTCTGGGAACTGTGCTCACATGTCCCAGCCCCCCATAAGCTGAAATGCTGGTCACCTACCTGGCAGAAAAGGAATGATCCTCTGTTTGGGGTCCTTCTGTCCTCCTTCCATAGGAAATTTGTCCAACATTTGCATCTAGATGGGGGCAAAGAGAATAAGAAAAAAAAACACCCTTTAGCGGCACAATGAAGTTATTACCTGACATAGGTGGTCTGCTAGACAGAAGGGCATTTTGTTCTGAAGTTCAAAGGAATGGGGAGGGCAGTTTCAACCAGACCCAGGACCCACCTGGAAAATAATTCTTTGTGTTCAACTGCCAGATTTGAAAAGCCCAGGGCTGGGAGAGGCCTTGATCCCCTTTCCCAGGGATCTCCAGCCACGGGGCATAAAACCCTAATGATACACCCAGGACCACTGGAATTTCCTGGGTGACAATCATCTGGCTTCCTAACAATGGCCTGGCTACGTGACATTAAAGACCACTGAAAATTAAAAAACAAACAAAACAAACGATAAAACAGTTGCTCCCACACATGCCACTAGAGTGAGGATGACACACAGAGATGGGTGGGGGTAGGCTTGGAGTTCCGGGGAAGTCACGGATTGGCTTCCGGTTGCCTTCGTGGAAACCTACCCCTTCTGGAAAGATGGCTCGCTCTGGCTCAGTCCAAGCGTCCAGAGAAGGAGGCTGGGAACTCTTGCCCGCCCCCATCACAGCAGCGAGAGGGTGGCACTGTGGCTAGTTGTCTCTGAGTTGGTTTCGACTCGGCGACCCCGC